AGAACAAGATGAGGGGAAGAAGAGATAAGAAGAGAAAGAAGGGGAAAGAAGAAGAGCAGGATTGGTCCAGGTGGAGAAAAGATGAACCAAAGGACGTGTTGGAGCCGACATGTAAGGTCCAGAGGAGGCAAGGGAGGAGGAAGGCAGCAAGGCTGTTAAATCTACAGAAAAGGGGCGTGGCCACAGAGGGCAGCTGGGGGCGGGCACCGGCTGCGTCTGAAATCTGATTGGCTGCACTGCCTGGCCACTCCCAGCAGAGCTGACACCTTACATAGATTACTGTTTGGTCCACAATCCATGTCAGTAGATGACAGAAAAGCTCCTTTTGTTGCTTTATGACGACCATTAATAGTTTTTCTGTTGTTTTCAAGTTTGTTTTTTTTACGTATTAAAGTTGCAGAATGTAACTTTTACTAAAAAAAAGGGTTTTTTTTACATATTTATTGAAATTATCACTATGTAACAGTATAGGAGGAAATAGATGTGTTAAAAAATTTAGCTCCTCTGTCTTTTCCCAATGGTAATGAGAAACAACCAATCAGAGAGCCAGGAGGCGGAGCTTAGCGCTGTCAATCACAATCTCTTGTGGCAATGCTCATGCCCCTTTGATTAGCAAAAGGCTAACCAATTCTCATGCTAGATCATGTTAGCTAGTGCTCAAGCTAACTGAGCACCAGTTAGCTTGAGGTAAGTTACTGCTAGTTAGTTCATATTGTATTGTACAAAGATTAGCGTTTTGCATCACGATTAATCTGGTTAATCATGTCGTTAGCACTAGTTAGCAAAATCTGCCAACCCTGCTGCCCGGACCCCTAAGGAGAAAAATCTAGACACGCCCCTGCTTACCATGTGTGAAAGAGCAGACACATAAACGGCAATAATAAGAAGAGTAAGAGCCGTGGAAACTCAGATGAAGGAGCTTGACAGCGATTTAGAGGAAAACACCTGAAGAGCTTCAGAAGTGAAAGGTTAATGCATTGATCTGCAGCAGCAAAACAAAAGGAGAGCAGTAGGTTGAGTCAGGCTGGGAGATCAGCGCTATGGTGAAGTCACGGATGTGATCAAACGTGTGCAGCTGCTGTCGGGGGGTGAAAACGGCTCCCCTCCATTTGTCGCTGTAGCATCCTGAGCACTGATCCTGCCAGAGATCCGTCACTAATCCACCGAGCATAAAGAGCGAGTCAGCAGGCGGCCGGGCTGCTGGGCGGGCAGCCGGCCTCTGAAGCTCGCCGTGAGGAGCGGCTGAGGCTCCCCGTCACTCAGCGACTGACTCAGCCCCCGCCGGGAACCGTACGATCCTCTACATCAAACGCATCTCCTCTGCTTACACAAGCCATTCGCTGACAGCTTTCGCCGTTCGGCGGCCCTCCGGGGGATCGGACGCTTCCATCAGCGGCTCGACGCCTAAAACTGCGGCCTGGCGTTTCTGCAGAGAGTCGGCCAAACCTCAGGAGGAACGGCGGCCAATCCAGCCTAATCTACGCTGAGCCACAGATCCATGCTAATCGGTGTAGCACACCCAAGCGTCCCCACGGAGACCACACACAATACCAACTCAGCAGTTTACCAGGAACGACTCAGACTGGGTTTATTAGCGCTGCCTCTGCATAATAACAGAATAATCTGATAATGCAGATGCTAGGCTGGAACTAGTGTTGTTCATTGCTGTCGTTCTCCCTGTGCATGTGTGGTTCTCTCTGGGTACACCCGCTTCCTGCCAAAATAAAAAAGACGATGGTGGGGTAAACTGGCCACTAGCCTCTCCAAGAACCCTGCAAGGATTTACTAGGTAGTGAAAATGTAAGTGAGTTTGTTGTGGCGTAACAGGGAAACAACTAGAAGCAACTGGGAAGACGTGAAGGTGGTAACGGTGGGATCTGCCGATTACTTAATTAAAGAGGGCCTATTATGCAAAATTCACACTGTGCATGTCTTCGTGCTTCCATTTGGGTCTCGACTGCTTTTAAATGAACCCAAATGCTTAAAACCAAACAAAAGAAAGGAAAACACCCAGCCATTTATTGGGAATAAGTTAACGTTTTTTTTTTTTGTATCTGGAAAATGTACCATTTCAAAAACCCTCTAAATGTTGAGTCAGATTCAACCGCCACTGCACCGTTACCTAGCAACCCCAGCCAAGCCCAGCCTGTCACCCAGCAACAGAAGCAGACAACTGGTTTTACTGCTGTACAATGGCTGCTGGAAAATAAAAGTGATTTGTTATTGCAGAAACCATTTGGTGCAATCTTGTTGGTTGTGCAGGAGGCTCCACTTCTGCTTTTCAAAAATGTAAAGTTATAAAATTTGCGCATGGGTTTGAAGTCATCTTCACGTCTGAGTGTAAACGCTGAGTTAGTGGGTGTGGCCAGCAGAAGCTTATTTAAAGTGACAGGACACCCTAAAACCTTCTGAACTGAGCAGACTAAATTCTCCTCATCAAAGAATGATTTTGTACAAAAATAAAATAATCTAATGTAACATCTTGTAAATTGGGAGAAATCCTTTAAAACTGATTGGCTTCACTTAGAACGTGAGAAAAATGTTTTGTTATAAGTGAAATAATCTTCAGTGGAACCAGTAATTTTCAGTCAATAAGGAATTATTTAATTTAAAATAAGCTCCTACATTTTTCTGAAAAACTGCTTGTAGGTTTACTTTGTATTATTTCAAGTATCCTTAGATAATGACACTAAAAATTAGACCAAACTACTTGGTAATATTTTGTGTTTTGCAGTGGAGCCTTAAATCTGTCTGTGTCGAGCTGAAACATCAAGTCACCAGGTGAAACGTAACGATTACTTCAGACTTAAATCTACCAGCGGTATGAACAGTTTTGAGCTTAGCTGTACGTATAAATAACAGTCTCTTGTTTCCTTTGGGCATCTTAAAAGAAATGCAATGACTCCAACCGTCAACATTTCAATATGCAACATGAATATTTCATGATTTGTTTTTCCGAGTCGTCTCAGCTTCAAACTATTCTTAAACAGGAGCGCCTCTCAGATCATCTCCCTTGTCATAATTGCCACTCACTCTTTACTCAGTGATGTGTTTAATGCTGATCATATATTTTTTTGATCCTGCTTTGATTAAAGGAATAAAATAAGTACACGAATTCCATCCTATTTTCGGAGACTGGTTTCTTAAATTCTGTCCCCAGAGACTTTAAAGGTGTCTTTAGATCCGTTCTTTCCCCTCAGGGGAAACAAACATCTGTGGTCTTCCTGAATACACTGACCTGGAAATGAAAGCTATCTTTAGGAGGGAAATGTGTTTGGATGTATTCAAAGCAGGCGTCTCTAAATGCACTTTGGAGGATCTTGAGCAAACTGTATGCCCAGAAGGAGAAGCTGTTTATTCTAAAAAACGTTTCAGATGTGTTGATGCTTCCTCCTCCGTCATGACCGTGAAATCGTGTTTTCACGGTCAAACGTTTATCCAAAGCATCATCCATAACTAACCAGGAAGCAGCAGCCGTCTCTGACATGTTTAAAGCATGAAGACGAGTGTTTGGCTTCGTTTTCTTCTTTTCACAGTTAAAAATGCGAGCAAACACATTTTTACTGTCACTTCTTTTCTTTTACATAATGCAGTATTTATTCATAGCTACTCCTTTAATTTAGTGAGATAATTTAGCAACTAAATAGCATGTTTCATGTCTTTTCAGGGTCAAACTTCCTGGTTAAACCAGAATATTAATAATTTTAAGGCCAGTGAAGCACAACAATTTTGGACTTATTGAAAGTTTGCCGATCATAAAATCCAATCCTAAGTAAAAACAAAGCATATTAGACCAAGATCACAGTTATGAAACACAATATGGTTTCTTTTTTACATAATAACATTATTGCCAAAACAATTAATCGGATTATTAAAACGACTGTCATCCAATTTTGTAATCGATTAATTATTAACTGGAGCAAACAGGCTCAAAAAAGGCCATTTTCAGAAAGAGCAACAAGACATTTAGGTCTAGTTTACAGTCCAAATATCTTACTACACTTTAAATAAGACAAATCTAACCAAAAAATAATTTCTGCAAGAAATACGGGCTTGTTTTAAGTAAAAATTTCCATAATAGTCATGAAAAATTGCTAGATTATTTTACTTACACATGGGAAAGATGTCTTCTGCTGTGAAAGTGAAACACAGCAGCTGAAAATGTAACAAACTGACATTTTTGTCCCCAATCAAAGAGAATCTATTTGATTATCAGGTGTTTATTGGACAATCTGCTGCACCAACCAGAAACACAAAATTTTAGTTTTCCTGATCCTGTGAATATCTTAGAAAACCTGAAATAAGAAAAAAATTACTTAAAAGTAACTTTCCAGCAGTATTCAGGAGCTTGATATAAGTAAGTAATTCCTTAATATTGATGAAAAGGTTCTAGTTCCGCTGGCGCGGTTACCTAGCAACACCAGCCAAGCCCAGCCCGTTGCCTAGCAACCCAGTTCTAGTTCCACCTGCAGATTATTTCAGTTACAAAGTAGGAAAAATGTCTTGCTAAAAGTGAAATAATCAGTACTTTTTCGTTAATATTAAAAAATATTTACTTTAAACAAACCTCTATATCGTCCCAAAACATTTGGCTTTAAGTTTGTTTTGTCTTATTTCAAGTGTACTAAAATATTTGCACTAAAATTTAGACCAAAAGTACTTGGTAAGATTTTGTGTTTTTGCAGTGTTGTGGATCAATTTACCTCTTTAGCATTAGCTTTGGCTAAATACCAGGCGGGTATAGTGCTTTACCGCTAGCGGTGCTAATGTTTGGGATTGATGCTTTTGGGATAGTGCAACTAGCTTTTTAGCTAGCGGTGCCCAGAAATGCTTCTTTATATGCAAAAACAAAAAAAAATAAATTCTGCAAATACATTTATATATTGCTCTTTATTTGAAGTGAACTAAGATATTTGCAGTAGAAACTAAACCAAAAATACTTGGTAGGATTTATTGTTTTTGCAGTGAAACTCGGTGTTAACAGGTTTGATGGGGGTTACCTGTGTCCAGCTGCCTGTTGTGGCCCCTCACCAGGTAGCTGAACTCCTGGCACTGTTTGCTCTGGCTGTAAACCCTCTGGGAGTTGAAGCACAGCTCCTCCAAAAGCGTCAGCGCCTTCTTACACAGGTCTTCGTCCCAGTCCCCCGACATGCTCCAATCCGCATCGCACTCCCACCGCAGCAGTCAGCCGATGACAGCGCCGCCCTCGCCGCCCTCACCGATCGGACGGCCTCCTGCAGAAGCACAGTGCCGGCCCGTCCACCTTCTTTCACAAGGAGTCAACTGGAAAAGACGACGCAGGAAGAACAGCAGCGGCTCGGTGGGGGGTCCTGGTCCAGGCTGAGATGCCCTGAAAGACACGGAAAATCAAATGTCTGGCTCACTTATCTTAACTTTAAAATGCAAAAACACCAAATCTTACAAACTATTTTTGGTCTAGTTTCCAGTGCAAATATGTTGGTATACTGGAAATAAGACAAACCAACATAAAAACAACTTTTCACCTTAAAACAAGACCTCTAATGTGCTTTTAGTTACATTATTAAAGCTTTTTCAAGTAAAGAGTGACAAATTGTGTTTTAATGCTGAAAATACACTAAATCGTTTTCAGTTTTGTTAAATCCAAATAAATTAGTAAAATGTTTCCCTTCTTGCAGCCAATGAAAACACAAGAAACCCTTTGAACTTTCTCACAAAAAATTATATTTTCTTTGTTTAATCAAAATATTTCATGCTTAGTTTATGGCTGAGCAGGAAAACAAAATTCTGAATAGAAACCTTTTTATTTTTATTCTTTTAAGTTGATTTTGGCCTTTTCTGGTTAGAAAACGTTTTGACATCCCCATCATAAAGTAATCTGCTACTGAATGTTTTAAAATCAAAATTAAGAAGTTATTTACTTAAAACAAGTTTTTATATCTTGCTGAAAAGTTACTTGTAAGTCAGTTTTGTGTCATTTTAACATGATGCCTTCGATTCACTCTGAAGACTAAAAACTAATGTGCTTTCTGTCTCCACCAGAACAGTAACAGCTGCTAATTTCTGCAAATGCTGGCAGAAAATTAACATTTGCTTCTCCACAGACGTGGTGAAAATAAAACACAACCTCTTCAAATTCTAATGTTTTACATCTGAGGGCAAAATAAAAGGACCTGGTATTTACCAAGATGTTAAATTAATTAAATCCTACCTCAAGCGTACAAAACAGAGAACAACAGATTTCATTATTTATTAAAGATGAAGCCAAAATGAGGAGCTATTTATGATTTAACAGCTCTTAGGCCCACCTGTAGCAGCAATTGCTCCCGGTAGTTCTGACTTTATTAGCCTCTCACATCATTGTGGAGGAATTTAAATTGTTTGTCGCATTCTGGACAGATTTGAGTCTAAGATACCGAACGTCTGTGCAAATCAAAGTCACCCAGTCTTTTTAATTTAGAGTGAAGAACCTTTTAGAAAAGTCTGATTCACTTCCTGAAGCGCAACAGCTCAGGTTTGTGTGCAACAACAAATTTGATGCAATCAACATGTTATTGACACAAATACTGCAAACGCAAAATCGTTAGAAGAAATAAAACCAAAGATAAAAGAACCATGTAGGATTTTTCTTTACCTATAAAGAATCAGTTTTGGGCTCCGCTAACTAAAAAGCTAGTTGTGCTATTCCTAAAGCACTAATCGTAACCATTAGCTCTGCTAACGCTAAAGTGCTGTACCTTCATGGTACTTAGCAGAAGCTAATGCTAAAGTGCTAAATTGATCTGTGTTGAAACCCACAACACTGCAAAAACACAAAATCTTACCAAGTATTTTTGGTCTAGTTTCTAGTTTAAATATCTTAGTACAATTAAAATAAGACAAAACTAACAAAAAATAAACTTTTTAGCAAGATATAGGAACTGGTTTTAAACCAATAATTTCTCACTATCAATGAAAAATAATCAGCCAATGAAACAAGACATTTTTATGGAAAAATGTCTTGTTTCACTGGCTGATTATGTCACTTCTAACTAGAACTTTTTCATTAATATTGAGGAATTATTGACTAAAAACAAGCTCCTATATCACACAGAAAAGTTACTTTTACATTATTTTTGTCTTATTTTAAGCATACAAAGATATCTAAAAACTAGACCAAAAATAGTTGGTAAGATTTTGTGTTTTTGCTGTGCTGTGAGTATCAACAGAGATTAATGTAGTGTTTTAGCATTAGCTTCTGCTAAATACCACGCTAGATTAGCACTTTAGTATTAGCAGAGCTAATGGTTACGATTAGTGGGAATGATGCTACTAGCTTTTTGTTAGCGGGACTCACAAATCTCCAAATACATTCAGAAACCATTTTTTATCCGTTATTTTATCTAATGGTTATATATTCATACTTTATATCTGTGAGCTGCGAACGCTTGAAGTCGAAGTCAAATTCTCCATCTGTTCACCCAATCTTGTTCACCGAAGCCGATTCTGAAATCCAGTTGAAGGAGCAAGGGTGTACTTAGTTTTTCCACACAAACCTTTTCAGTTATTTGTTCTTCTTTATCAATTATAATTGTTTTTGAATCTGCAGCGTTTCTGTAAAATTGCAGTTGATTAAAAAAACTCACAGACCAAGAGGTGTACTTTCTTTTTATCACTGACTGTACAAAATATGTTCAGAAAATTTGGTTTTCTATTTTTGCTTCCTAAATATCAGTATTAACTATTTATATTTTTACCTTATTTGAAGCCAGATTATTGAATCAACGGTTTGCACGCCTAATTTCACAGAACCATGTTGGCAATTATCTCCTGTGGTTTTAGTGATAGTGTTGATGTCTAAAACTGACCAGTAGCTTTCAGTAATTACACAGTAATTTACACAATTATAGGTTCTCTTAAGCTGTGTCTCTGAAACACGTGGTGGAGTCACACAGAGTGAGTAAAATAAGTAATTTGTGTTTTTTTTCCTTGTTTAAAGGGGACCTCGTTTGCAGAATCCACATTTTGCACCCTTTTGTACATACATTTGGATCTGAACTGCTCCAAGGAACAGTCCAAACACTTAAAAAAAACAAACACTGAATAGTATTTTGGTAATAAGTCAATTATTTCTGATGTCTGAAAAATGAGGCATTTAAAAACCTCCCAACTTTTAAGTCAAATTCCACGGTCATTTTGTCGTTACGTAGCAACCTCAGCTGAGTCCAGGCCCCTTACCTGGCAACCTACGTTCCAGAATATTTGGTCAGCTGGTTGCTGACCAAATATATTACAATGGCTGCTGGAAAAGAAAAGTGTTTTCCTCTTGACTTGCTAATCAGAAACCACTTGTTGCATTCTTATTGGCTCCACTTCTGCTTTTCAAAAATTTGTCTGCAGCCATTTTCACTATGAGTTTAAACATTTATTTGGGGGGGCGTGACCAACAGTGGCATGATTTGGATTTAAAGTGACAGGACGGCCTAAACTAAAATCTCTAAAAATGATTTTGTGCAAAAAATGTAATGATCATGTTTTGTATAGGCCACATATCTAACCTTTAGATCACCTTTAAAACAACCAGATGAATTTGAGCATTTGATAAATTAAAAAAAAAGATTTTAGATTCAATTTGAAAAGAAAAGCACAAATAAAGCCTTACCTTCTTCTGGACTCAACTCTTGGTGTTGCTCATGCTGAATTTGGAAGGGAGGTTTGTGTAAAAGTTTCTTCGACAGAGGAAAACAAATTTATCTGTCGTGTGAATTTATAACCATCGTTCTTCACTGAGAGGTGTGAACAGAGGAGGCGTGTTTAGCTCCAGCAGGACCGGGTGGCATGCATCGGTGAAGCCTGTCTCTTCCACCAATCCACCTGGACAGGAGGCCGACTTCTCAACGTCTGGCTGAAAACCCTCCAACTGCACCTGCAGAGTAAACCAAACCAACCAATCAGCAAGCAGCAAAAAAACAAACAAACAACAAGCTCATGAAGTCTGGCTCTTTTCTGTCCTCTCACTCAACAGACCATGGCTTTTAGTTCATGGTCTTCATTTTTTGGTCCTATTCTGTCAAAATAAAAACAGGTCAGCACTAAAACGTTTCTCTTTCCCAGAGTCAAACAACGACTTTAAAGTTTGTGCAAAAGTCCTGAGTCATTCCTCGTTTCTTTCTACTTTGCTGCCAAGCTGCAAAGTTATCATGTTTTAAGGTCATCTTAATCAGCAGATCTACAGGCTTTACTTTCAAAATGGTCAGCCTTTTTATTCATTTCTACTTCTTTCTTAACTTAGCAATTGAGGAATGTGGCCCAGATGAGTAAAAATAAACTTCACTGCAAAAACACAAAAGTATTTTTGGTCTAGTGCACTTGAAATAAGACAAAACCAACTTACAAATAACTTTTCACCAAGCTATAGGGGTTTAATTTAAGTAAATAATTCCTAAATATGGATGAAAAATACCAGTTCCATTGGCAGATTATAATTTTTTTTTCCATGTTATAGTGAAACAATCTGTTAATGGACCTGGTATGTTTTCATCAATATTAAGGAATTATTGACTTAAAACAAGCTGCTATATCTTCTAACATTTAAAACCTCAACACCCTGTTAATAAATGAAGTTGCACTGCAAAAATACAAAATTTTACCACGTATTCTTGGTCTAATTTTTAGTGTAAATCTCTTAGCGCACTTGAAATAAGACAAAACTACTTAATGTTTCAGCAAGATATAGGAGCTTGTTTTGAGTCAATAATTTATTAATACTGATGAAAAAGTTGCAGTTCCTGTGTGATTATTTTACTTACAAGACTTTTCCCCATGTAATAACCTGTCAGTGGAACGATTATTTTTTGTCAATATTAATGAATTATTGGGTTAAAACAAACTCCTACATCCTGATGAAAAGCTAATTCATCTAATTCAGGTGTAATAAGATATTTGCACGAGAAACCAGACCAAAAGCACTTGGTAAGATTTTCTGTTTTTGCAGTGCATAAATATTCTGAGAGGCAGAATCTTGAGTTTTATTAACTTTAAGCCAAAATAATGAAGCTGAGCAGAAAAAAAATGCCTGAAATATTGCACTCTGTGTGTAATGAATCTATATAACATATGTATTAAAAAAATGAGTGTTGCTCTGAGACGTTAGCAGCATCCTGTAAGCCCAGCGGGTGTGAGCGGCAACGTGAACAAGCGGTGCGGCTGAAAAATAAATCAGTGGTAAAACACAGCGTTCATGATGAGAAGTCAGCTCAGTTCCCCACTCAGCTGTTTCGTCCTTGTAAAGACCAATTTCTCAAGCGAGGTGACGTGTCAAACAGGAGCAGGACTATTGATCATCTGATGTACGTTGTTCTGTGAGATGTCAGCGTCAGCCGAGTGGCACCTCCCTGGCAAAGTGGTCCTCCAGTGTCCATCTGTCTCCCGTCTATCAATCAGTCACCGCATTACGCAAAGACATATTTCACTCTCCAAACATCGTCTGAAACAAGAAGTGCTTCCACTCAATCTCTACTTTCCCGTTTGGTCAGGTCTAGTCCATTTTAGCTGTCCATCTGGTGCAAAAATATTACAAACGAAGGAATCACACACAGAAAAACACCAAATATCCTATAACAAAATAAAGTGGAACAAACAGTATGTAAATGTAAGCTAATGCTAAAGAGGTAAATTGGTCCACAACACTGAAAAACACAAAATCTTACCAGGTATTTTTGGTCTAGTTTTTAGTGCAATTATCTTAGTACACTTGAAATAAGACAAAACTTAAAAGTAATGTTTAGGAAGATGGAGGCTTGTTTAAAGTAAATATTTCCGCAATACTGATTAAAAAAAAGGAACGATTAATTTATAACAAGACATTTTTCCCATATTGTGAAAGAATCTGCCAGTGGAACTAGAACTGGGTTGCTAGGCGACGGGCGAGGCTTGGCTGGGGTTGCTAGGTAACAGCAGCAGTGGAATTCTTACAAGTAACTTGTTTTAAGCCAGTAATTCTTGATATTGAGGGGAAATAACTGGTTGTTAAATAATCAGCCAGCGGAACGAAATATTTTAACTTATAATATGGGGAAAAAATTTCTTCTGATGATTTCACTCATAACTATAACTTCTTTTTCATCGATATTAAGGAGATATTTACTTAAAACAAGCTCATATTTGTTGTTGAAAAGTTAGTTCACTTGAAATAAGACAAAACTAAGATATTTCTTAGAAAGAAGACTAACAATACGATTTGGTGTTTTTGCAGTGCAGTATCCATGCCAGAAAAAGTTCTCCTTTTCCATTAGGAAAGCAAATTTGTTTGAGTGACTTAAAGCCGAAGATATCTCAATCCGAGGAATGGGCGTCTGGCAGAGAATCTGGCTGCATCCAATGCCAGCTGGAGCATCAAGACGGAGAAGCAGGAAGGAAAAGACAGAAAGATGAGAAAATCTGACTGAAAAGCTGGTGGCGAAGAAATCTACAAATCATTCCGGTTTGAAGACCACCGATACCAGAAACACATGTTCCTCCAGTGGATATCAGAATAACAGTAAAGCTGCCACAGCCTCTCCATTGACTGCTGGGATCAATACTGCCGAGGAATAAATACGCCACATCACGGAGCAGCCGGAGCAGCAAGGTCACCGTCCGGCTGAGCGGCGGAGACAGGACTGCGCGCAAGGTCACCGCCTCGTCGGGTTGTGAAGGCAGGAGAATCAACCACATCCAGTCGCATGGCGGCGAACAAGATGAGATCAGTGTCCAATCAGATCAAGAGTTAAATCTGGACAGATAAAAAGTAAAAAAAAAAAAAAAAAGGGAGCACTCAGACCGGATAAAAGCAGCAGAAAGCTGCTTGTGGAGAGATACGTAGCCGAGCCTCCTTTTCCTTTGCGCTACTTCTCAATAGTATTGCATTCCCTTGCAATCAAATTGCAAATTCACCCTGGTCTATTTTGTATACATTCACATTGATAACAAATATCAAATTAAAGGGGAGCCATTATGCAAAATTCAAACTTTGCATGCTTTTGTACTTCCATTTGGTTTCAACTCCTTCAATTATCACCCCAAGCATTTTGTTTTTGGCAATACATCAATGTTTTTTGGTGTCTGAAAAATGAACCATAAATTAGCAGTTCCTCACCTAGCAACCTCAGAAGTGCAGCCCGTTGCCTAGCAATCCCACCAGAGTTCCACTCAATACCTAGCAACCCAAGCTGAGTTCCAACACGTTTGGCCAGCTGGTTTTTTACCACCGTATGCGCTGTACAATGGCTGCTGGACAAGACAAGTGCTTTGTTGTTGACCTATCGTCCAGAAACCACTTGCTGCATTCTTGTTGGTTGAGCAGGAGGCTCCACTAATGCTGCTCAGAAATGTACAGTTGTATAAGTTTTGAGCCATTTGCACTTGCGAGTGTGAAAGTTTAATTGAAATCCAAACAAGCAGCAGATTATTTGGATTTAAAGCAACAGCAGCTCATTCTGAAATGACCTCAAAGTAGGAAGCACTGAGCAGACTAAAATCTCAATATCTAAGAATAATTTTGTGGAAAATATGTAACAGTAATTTAGCCAAAACTGTAAAAATAATATATACATTTTGCATTTAGGAATAAAAAACACCTTTGTCTGTAAATATGTTGTACTCAGAACTCCTCAAGTATCAGTTTTAGCTTTGGTTCAAATTCTGTAAAACAAATTTCTTAAGCACCTTTTGCTATCCAATTACTTATCAGTTAGTCCAAAAAAATAATTAACAGATCAGCTCTACACTGTATTTATGCTAAGTCAAGCAAAAAGAGCTGATCTTTTCATATGCTGATGTCAGAAATATTTATTTTAGATGCAGATGGATCCTTTCACAAAAGGAATGCTATGTTATTGCATTTTAGGCAATAAAAAGTTCTTTTTTTATTAAAAAGGAATTAAATTGTTTATTTTCATCTTTTAGTAAACTTCTAATGTTGCAATTAGTCAATTCTGCAGATTTTTTATGTAAGGTTTCTTCCAATTAATCAATTAATCACCAGGTTAATCGATTAATCGCCAGATTAACTAAAGTAATTGTTAGTTGCAGCCTTATCTGTAATATATAAATTCAAGGATGCATCAGGAAGAAGGGGGCTGCAAGTTCGACCCTCCACAGATGTCCTTGAGTGAGACGCCACCCCCCCGCCGCTCCAGTTAAATCTCCCAGGATGGGAGCTTCAGTTCAATGACTCATTTTTAAAGCTGAGTGCAGCCATTACATCCAACCTTCCTGGTGATGAAGCAGATGAAACATTTGTGTCTGCATCTCCTTCTGATGAGGGGATCGTTCCCGCGCTCACAAAGAAGGGACGATGATTCTCCAGAGTCTTATTGCCGAGGCGCTCGCTAATGAATATATATCCAGTATTGAACTCGCTCCTTCAACTGTCTTTTCACAAAGTAGATCCAGACAGTTTTCTTCCTCATCGACCTGCAGATGTGATATAAATGTCAGAAGGTAGGTTTGTTAAGACACAGGGATCCACATTGGGCTCGGAGAGGAAGAGTTATTTTGAATTTGAGTGATTGCCATCTATGACATCCAGAAGCTCAGCGAACATTTTATCAGTTTCTGGGCTTTAAGGCGTCATGAAGTGACAGATTCGCCTTCAGGTTTCCGTTTTATCCAACGACTCAGAGCAAAATCTCATTGGACGGACATGGAAAGACAATGTTCTCTGCCTGAATGCTTTAAAAATGTCCCTATAAAGATAAACAACCAAACAGACCGAAAAGAGTAACATTTTTATGGGTTTCAGGGCGAACAATTATTAATAGACGCAAAATAAACATCAAGCCTGAAAACGTAAAACTGGACTCAATGTGTGGGATAAACTCGAACGTAACCTCTGCTACGTTGGCTAGCGGAGCTGTTGTCAGCCGGTTGCAGTGAAGCCGACAGAGAGCGAAGGAAAAGGGATTAATCTGAGTGGTTTTGAGTTGTTCTTCACCTGATTACATTATTTTCCCTTTGCTGTGGTGCAAAGCAGGCGATGAAACTTCAAAAAGTTAAATAAACGCTAGGATAAAATATTTCAGTTCAATTAACTGCAATAAAATTCGGCGCCTTGTCAAAGTGAAACAGCCATAAAAAGATGTCCAAACAACAGGAATAGGGTTCAGTTTGGATCTTTTCACACATTAAAAAAACAAAAACAAAACAGATTTGATCCATTTCCAATATGTGGAGCTGACCTGTATTTGACTGTTTTCAAACCATGTGCAGTCTGAGCAGTCATGTTGCATTTAATCCGACTTTTACATCATCGATGCGAGACACACATCATCTTTCTGCACCAGAAGAAGCCGAGCCAGACGTAAACAACGGCTGAGAAAAATAATAATTCTGGAATTCGATCATCATCAGTCTGTAGGGAAGAGAAGAGCCTCACGTCCAAGCAGACTTCTCTGCAGACGCTGCTGTTAGTTGTGCTCGAGTTTTATCAGCTTCCTTTGTGTTGTTATGATGTCGTCACGGTACGGTCAGCAGCTATTCCTGAATGAACTTTAAAATGGATCCATTAACGGCTCCATCCATTATTACTTCCAGAAGCAATGCTTTGTTGTTGTTGACGTCACTTTGGGGATGTGAACTGTTCATGCAGAATCTGATCGAGGCTCCATTGGATATGAGTGAATAATTATGCAAAAAATATAGCATTTCAGCAAATAAATCAGAATTGATATGATGTGTATATTTCTGAAAGTCTTCTCATGAACTCAGCAATTAAAATCTTAGTGGTGCTGCTATGTTCTCTTTAAATTCACAAAAAAAACATCCAGTCATTTTTTTGGGAATAAGCTCTTCTAGAAGAGTTTGTAAAATGAGATGTTGGCGTCCATCATTACGACAGTAAACGGTGCGCTGCTGTGTGACGTCAACGTTCCTCGTTGTGTTGCTTTGGGGACATAAACGTTCACACAGACATCTCATTGTGGTTTGTAATAATCTAATATTTAGCCAGTTGGACAGAAGCTCATGGCAGCAGATGCTCTGACCTGATATCTTTATTGCAATATTTATTAATCTCAATTTCTAACATAAAGTTTTCTAAATTTTACGGTCACATTGCACCACGAGGCTGAAAACTAAGAGCATTTCTGCAGTTTAAAAACTCTGAATCTGTATTTTTAAGGTTGGATTTGCTCACCTGGTGGTATTCTGATCTTGCTTTCTTCACACTGAAAGCACTCGGGTCTTAATTCTGGGTTATCAATTAATTTTTAATTCCACTCCCTTGGTTTAATATTTTTATTTGCTGCATATTCAAATCGTCGTCTTACTAACCTGCGCTCTCTTTATTAAACCTAGACCGATGGGAATTACTGTTTATTGCTAAAACGTCAAACTATTTTTACAGGGGAGAAAAAAAAACACCTACATAATTACGAAACTGAAACAGGCAGATGCTTTTCTGTGTCAGAGCACAATGCTTTCTGTCGACAAAAGGAAGCTAATCCGCTGGTTTTGCTTAATAGGATGTTTCATGCAGATCTCAGTGAGCGTGCTCTGAGGTCTTCCCATCGCGGCTGCGCTCCTTCCTTTGTTTTCATCTCTACCTGGAAGTCATCTTTAATTGAAGCTCTTGTTTTCATTGCCGCTTTTCGTTTTCTTTTTTAAATCTGTTCAATTTCACACGCCCCCATGTTAGCACCTTAATAACAGCTTTGGCGTTAACTGTATTTCCTGTGAAAACGTGTCATTTCCAGTCTGCTGCACTGTACCGACTGGCAGCTTGGCCCAGTGGCCTCTTCCTCTCTGGTCGTGACTTTCATGCCGTCTGCCTTTTGCTGCCACCCTGCTGGCCTCGCATCATGAGGCGAACCACCTCCAGTCGATGTACTCACGTACTCTCGGATCGCCCGCCATTCCTCAGACATATCTTGGACTCACAGGGGTCGTGACCCTTCCCTGCCAGGGCCGACGTATTCTCGTTTTTCGCCTTGCATCACTTCCTTTCCGAGGCCACGGTGGTGCCTGGTCGAGACAATGCGATCATCGCTCCTCTGTCCGCTCAGCCGTGACAGATTGATGCGCTGGGGTAAACAGATAGGGCTGCTACAACACAGCTTTTTGGTTACTCCAGTGGAGTGGTGCCGCGATTCGCAGGGACAAGAGACGGCGCCGCATGAGGGCTGAGACTGAGCGTGGGGATATTAATGCCTATTGACTCGAAGGTAATAGCTTTGCCGAGCCTCAGCCTCGAGGTTGCTCCAATTTAGTCTGCCCTATAATAAGACTTGGACACCTTCACAGCATCAGAAACTATCTCCTCATAATCATATATCACAATAAACATGCAATCGAACATCCCGGCTCATCCAAAGGAGACTGTCGCCTTTTATCTCCAACTATTTCTGCCCCACATTTCTAAATGTTGCTGCTGAGGCTTTCACAGCTTCCCACTCTAAGCTTGTTGGAGCTGCAAGTGTCTAAATTATCCATAACATGAGGCGGGAAGGAGAGAACAAGTGGCCAGGCAGGAACCCTGGGATACTGCCGATGCTCTTTCCTCACAGCAAGCAGAGCTGCAGAGCAGGCAGGGAGTGTGATGTGACTGAGTTCAGGTTTTTGGGTGTTTTCACACCTGGCAGTCTGGTAGACTTGGTTTTATTGGAGACCAAAGCTACAACATGTGTTACATCTACAGCTGGTGTTGTTCACTTTAACATTGCACTGTCAAACGAGCCAAACCCTATGGAAAACATGTTTCCCCCTTCGCCTTTGGGGGCGCTGCACCAGCAACCACTGAAGTAAACGACATGAAACCCTCTGAAGAAGACATGAACGCAACTCCCTTACTCACAATAGGTAAACAAAAATGGAGTAGCATCAGATTTTAGCGACTGTAGGATTTCTCTTTTGTCTTTGGCAAATGACCAAGAGCCATTTTACCTGCAAATGCAAGATTTGCACCTTTGTTTTGGTTGAATTTACCCATAAAACATTGCGGTATAGTCTGCTTCCTGCAGCTGGAGTGGTCTCCGGTCCGCTTGGCGTTCACAAATATATTCAAACTGCACCAGAGTTCACTTCAACTGAACCGAGACTTGCTTTTTTTCATAAGTTGGGCAAAGTCAACTTATTCAATGTTTGATTACATCATTCACATTTCCCCAATCGAACCAGACTTTCTCGTCAAACAATTGGAATAAAGTGTACTGAACGGGGCTAGTGTGAATACAGCCCTATACAACTGCTTTTCTTTATCCCTGATTATTTTTTACCAGAGTTCGCTATAACCAAACCGAGATCCAGGCACACAATCAGTGTTTCAACAGCTTTGTAAAGGACGTAAAAACTCTGTGTGTGAATAACAAGGTTCTGGTGACTGGCACAGAAAGTACATGTAGAAACAAACACGCAGGCTAAATGTCCGTCTTAGCTACCAGCTAAGACGGACATGTTAGCTTAGCTAATTTAGCTAGTTCGGCAGTAAGTACTACTATTAAATATCGCTGATATTTATCTTAGTATTACACAGAGGTGGGTAGAGTACTCAAAAATTGTTGTCGAGAAATAACTTTGATGTACTTAATATTGCTTAGAAGTTAGATCAGAATGAAGCGAGAGCTAGTTCTAATATGTGGCTTGTTTGTAGTTGTCATAGCAACTCCATAGCAACCGCTACGGCCGTTAGTAACGGTACCTTCCAAGATGGCTGTCAGCTACAGAGCGTGAGACCCGTTCAGCAGGCTAGCAAAGATCGTCAAAAAGCTAAAAACTCCTGGATGGAAGCTGCAGAGTTGCTCTCCCTGGAAGAGGCTGTCTGCAGAAAGGTGTGGCGCTTTCATTTCATTTTTTAAAAGCAAAACGGAAGAAGTAGGGACGTAGTGGGGAGGTAAGCTGTGTCCCCAGGTGGGCTGTACCGTGTGTGAAAGGTGTGTGCAAACACGAGCGTCCCGAAACCACGTGACCGCGCGTCGACTGTTCCGCTTCGGATGAAGTATGTTGGAGCCGTTAGGGTCGAACCTGATGATATGTCGGGGAAGTAAAGCATTTGTTTCAATCAGGAACGCATCTAACAACATGTGGGACACCACTGATTGGTTTGGCACCTGGTAGAAAAAAAAAGGTCATAAAGCAACACGGAGCGCCTCCACACACACACACACGCACACACACACCCTTGATTTTTCAGCTGCAGCTTTAAGAGTCTGTGGGACAGTTATTTTTTTAAAATGATCCTCCTCGGTGGAGGAACTCCAGCTTTGAAGGAGATGGAGGGGGAGTCGGGTGGAGGCCGTGGGGGTGTGGGATTACGCACGTCTTACGCACGTCAACCTGTCTTCTGTGTGTGTGTTTTCTGCGCACCCCGCCGTCTGTACATCCTATATATCCCGTAGGAAAAAAAAATTAATAATAATAAGTGAAATCATTGCAAGAAGCGAGGATATTAGATCAAAAGAATGATAAGAAAAACACTGCAGGCGGATAGTAGATACCTGGGGTGTAAATGTAGAGGCAGAATGCAACATGGATGCACAAATAATAGGCTAAACATTAAATATTGATGGAAAACAGCCACATGCGGCTGGATCCGGGGGCTCCCATTGAGCAGTGCGGGGGATGCAGGAATCAAAGGAGCGTCGCTGAAACCAGAGCCGCGGATGTTTTACAGGAGCGACCGAAAAGCGAACATCTTCCCCTTCCTTACCTTTCTGCGTCGCAGGAACCGCTGGGCTCCTCCTGCTGCTCGTCCTCCGCTCTCTCTCCTCCGCTGTTTTCACTCAGATGCGTCGCTCGTAAAGGGGCATTCCGCACCTATCCATCTGTCCGAGCAGGAACCGGTGAAGGCAGACTGAGAGGGAAGAAATGAACAATACGATCCCTGTCTCCCCTCCCCTTTTTTACCTCTCGGTTTCCCCTCTTCTTCTCTTATATTTCCATCCCCTCCTGGTGTTTTTTTTTCCTCCTGTCCCCTCCCTCTCACTCTCCCTCGTTTGCTCGCTCGGTGCCTCTCCTCCTTTTCCTCCCTGTGCTCTGAATACTAATATTCCGTCTCTCCTCTCTCTGCCTGTACTAAAGACATACTGATGTATGTGGGGCGTGTATAGGAGGAGAGAGAGGCGGTTTGTGAGTGCTGCTGTGTGTGTTTTTAAGTGGGAAATGGTCTCTGGATCTCGTCCTGGATCTTGTTTGGTCCTATTAGAGCTGTGATTAGATAATAATCCTCCTGCAGATGCCCCTGGAGGGGTGATGGTGGGTGTGTTGCAGGTAAAAATGTTGTGTGGGATGAGAAGAGCAGGATGAGGAGGGGATGGTGGGTCACTGTTTGTTCGGCTGGCAGCCAGAAAAAGACACGGATCTGTGCTTGTTTGTGTCAGTGCTGGTGGGAAACCTCAACGAGACGAGAGGCTGAGGTCTAGTTAGGAGAAGACATAGGCTTATTGGAGTCATGATTTGATCATGTTCTCCTGGAGGCCATGAGGAAGCAGAGAGGGGGACATAAAGATGCTTCTGTGTTTTATGAAACATCACCAGCTGCTCTGGTGAAGCAAAGCAGGTCGGAGAAATGCATCCATCTTTGGTTAAAAAACCTTAAAAAGTTAAGAATCCCTTGACTTTTGACCTGCCTGAATGAATACAAAATGCAGTTTTGATATGATGATTTTATTTATTAGGGAAAAAATGTTATCCAAAGCAGCACAAGCCAGTTTGATCATGATTTACCTCTGAGTACCAAACTTTGGAAAGTTGAAGTCTGTTACAGATTTTAGCAGCTTTTGTCTTTAGTAGAAGACCAAGTTTCATTTCTCCCACTGTTTTGTTTTGGGTTTATTTACCCAGAATGCCCTGGTCTGTAGGTCACTTCCTGTTTTTGGAGTGTGTATACATTCGAACCGCGCCAGAGTTCATTTCAACCGAACCAAGACTGAGGGTTGCAGGCAAACCAGAGTTTGACTTTTTGGTCAGTTATGTATTCATATCTCCTCAAATGAACCAGACTTTCTAGACGAACTAGAGTTCAGCTAAAGCGGACCAAACAAAGTCCATCAAAGTGAACTCTGTCGCAGTTCGGATGCAAACGTGAATGCCAAGCAAACCAGACACCGGTCCAAAAGCAGGAAGTGGACCACAGCGCAGGGCATTCTGGGTAAATAAAACAAGCAAACACACTAGCTTAGCGCTAGCAGGTGAAACGGCTCGTGGTCTTTTACTAAAGACAAAAGAGAAATCCTTCAACTGCTAAAATCTGACGCCACTCCACTTTTGTTTACATTTTGTGAATAAGGAAGTTGTGCTCCATGTCTTCTTTAGAGGTTTTTGTGTCGTTTCTTTGTGCAGCGCCCCCACTGGTGAGGAGGGGAACAGGTTTTTCAAAGGGTTTGAATTGTTTGAAAGACAAAAGCTGAAAATGTAACAAATATTACAATTTTGTTCCCACTAACAGGTGTGAAAACACCCCAAGTCACGGTTAAAAATGTATTCTGCTGAAAGATTTTGGCAGCAAAAATAAAAAAATTCTCCATCCAATTTGCAATACTTGATAACTACTTTTTAATAAGATGAAGCAAATAGTCAGTAGAACCAGTAGTGATCTTAGAAAACTCAATGACAAAGAGAAAGAGACTAATAGATGCACATTGCTCACCATGTTGACATAATGGAGCAGCAGGGCGACATGCAGTGAACATCTTGAGGGACAGAGGGTCGAGTTTCCTTACATAACGAAGCGTTCGCTTTGTTTCAGCAGAAAGTACTTTTTAAACATCCTGAGCGATTAAATATGTACATTTCAACTTCTGCTTTCCTTACATTTTTCCTCCCACAGCTGCCAGACTCATGTATTTTTAAAGTGGTCTGGATCAATAGTTCTTCAGACTTTCTTAAGGTTGTTTTTTTTTTTTCTGGAATTTGGCTGCTTTTAGTCTTATTACCCAACCAATTGTTGTGCCTGATCGTGACAGCATATTGTGCTTTCAGCAGGGAAAACAGTGAACAAACTGAGCAATGTCCGGGAGGTACGGAGAATTTACAACAATAAAAAGATAAGCCAATGACTAAAGAAAAATCAATTAAAGTGTCAAGTTCAACGCTGTTTGGAAGGTGAACTTGACACCTTCAAAATGGAGAAAACATTGGAAAACATTGATAGGCTGTAGCTGTGCTTCCAATGTTTTTTGTGCTCATTTTGATGTATTGAATTTGAAAAGATTGTATACTAAAAAGGACATAAGTTGTGATGGAGGAAACTTTCTGCTGCTTCTGTGCCTTACCAGAGGCACGAAATGTTGAATAAGGAGAACTCTCTCCATTTTTCTGAGATGTATGATCCATGCTAGTTTGCTACCTCTGCTTATTGTGTATTGCAGTCATGCGCAGCGTCAACATTGGACAAAATTACATTTCGCTCCAAACCAGTAGGTGGAAACACGCATAATTCGCATTTTCTTTTTTCTTCTTTTGCAACGTTTTTTAGATGTTTGCTCAAAATTCGCATGACAATTGGATGGGAACGTAGCTATTGATTAGGCCTGTTACAATAAATTTTACTGGATAGTAAATTGCCCCAGTTATCACGATAAACAATAATATTGTTTTGAGATTTCAAGTGATATATTGATAATGGCATAATAATGCAAGTTTGCGACTCAAAGACCAATAAACTTTAATTTTGTAAAGAACACTAAGCACTGGAACTGGAAGACATTTTAAAAACCACTTAAGCCAAAAGCAGCTTCCACAGCATTAGAAAGGTTGGAGAAGTTTAGTGAGCTTTAACTAGCTCTCTTCAACACCCAGAAGAGGAAATAAAGTGCATATATTGTGAGTTATATTCAAACTTTTATTTCTCAATGGAAAATAAAAAAATGTAAGAGTCCATTTCCATTAAACTCACTAACAACGGTGTTTAGTTTTTCCCACAACTAGAGAAATAAAACCATGACTGTCGTCTCGTATTAGGAGAGAAAAAAAGGCTCAAATGGACTTGGCATTTCCAGGGGGAGCAGAAATCTGAGTTTATTCTGTGTGGTCAATTATAATTATGTGGCTCCATCACTGGGCTGGTTGCACTGATGGCAAATCAGGCCTCAGGGGTGGGAGAAGCTCGCTGCCCCTGCAGCCCTGCAGCGAGGGATGATTGATAAACAAGAGTAAACAGTGACCTCTGCTAGTTGTCACAGTGGAGCAGAAAACGAGTCTGAGACGAACGACAGAGGAGAGGAGGGGAGAGGAAAGGAGAGGAAAGGAGAGGAGGAGATGAGAGGAGGAGAGTTAAACAAATAGGATTGTTGAGGGGGAGAAACTAAAAGCTCCGCCGGCGGCAGTGGCCACTTGTCAAACCAGAAACCAACAAAATTGTTGTAAATCCCTTTTTTTATGTGGGACAATCCCTTTTTTTATGCACACAAGACAGATTGAGGTCTTCATTTCACACATGCTCACTCTTATGTACTTATTGCACTTAAGATATGAACGTTTATGAGGGAAAAAAGTAGACCAAGAGACGCTGGAGGACAGAAGAGCCACGCAGAGAGAGAGAGATTATGAGACTAAAACTATTGGTGTCAACGCAATAATCAGTCCACATTCAACATGGCTGCAGTTTAAATAAAGTCCCAAACAGGAAGTTAATGGAAACAGGAGGAATGCTGCCACAGGGAGCACTTTGTGCCAACGTGGCCGAATGCTTAATGCACTGACCGAAAAACATCTCAGAGCTCAGAGTTTCTGTTCCTTCATGACAGCAGCAGGGATTTTTAACCAATCACACGGCCTTATCCAAAAAGATCAATCACTTTTTAAATAATCTTCAACTAGTTATTAGTTACTAAACTACTTTATTACAATGGCTTTATCAAAAATGATGAAATAATTATCATATCAAAACTCCTCAAGTGGCGTAGCTTCAGCTTCACATGGTTCAAATTCACGAACACAATGCTACATTATTGTTTTTTAGGCAATAAAATCTTTTCTTATGTAAAAAAAATTGTTCAATTACATTTTCTAGTGTATTTTTAATATTGTTTAAAAAAGGTTTAAGTGGTTAAATTAAAAAATGTGGCAATTTTTTTCTGATTAATGGTTAGAATAATCAAATATTAGAATAATTGTTCTAATTTGCAGTCCAAATCAGAAATTTTACATTTTGGTAATAATATTCTGCTTTATCTTTAGGATCCAACTTCAGCTACACTGGTGGAAAAAAAGAGAATGGCTTGAATAAATTAAATTTATTTGGAACAAATTAGAATTTTTTTAAGTTGTTTTTTTTTTCAGTGTACATGTCAAACAAAAACCTTAATTCTTTGGTTGGAGATTTAATACAATAAATTTAATGTCATGATAAGAATTCTGATTTACTTTTTTCACAATAATTTACAAATAAAGATGTTTAAAACCTCTCAAAACTATTATTAGTTTTACGATTTTCTCCACTATTTGTCCAATAAAAGTATTGATAGATTTGAAATTGTGATTAAAATTGAGTTGGTGACCAGTTCAGTGATATAAATAATACTTTTTAATGTTTTTATGTGCCTAAGAAAGTTCATTACAAACGTTTTTTTCTAGAACAGTATTTGTGCCTGTGGCTGTGATTTCCAGTCATAAAGTTACCTAAAAACAAACCAGTAGTTCTTATCGACACTTTAGTATCGTGATAAAACTTGGATCCAGATGTTATTTTACAGAATTACCCCTGATTTTCTAAAAAGATGTGCTTCACAGACATATTTGCTGTTTTCCTATCAAAATAAAAGGGAACTGAGTCAGTTTTAAAAAGCAGCAGCTGTGGATTTCTAGACGGAGCTGCGGCTTTTTTCCAACAGCATGAAATGACTTCTGCCGTCGTCTGAGTTGGTTTTCTGCCGATTTAGACGTCATGGTGAGCCAACCATCTAAATCCGAGGAGGTTCGAATCATCCGTCTCATTTCATGTTCCACGAGTGGCTCTGACACCGAACCTCGGTCATTGTGGACCGGCTCTGATCTGCCCGGGCTGCTGTGTTTTAACGTCTGTCCTGAAGCTCTGTGCGCCTCAGATCTCCTCTTTTCCATCGATCCTTTTATCTACCTCACATTTCTGGGCTGCGACACCACAAAGACCAATCATTCAGAGATTTATTCTACATAGAAATCCAAGTACATCTATTGGAGCTTACTGCAGGCAAAAACGAATAAATTTTTTAAAAGATGTTTATAACCTGAGGCCT